CCATCCATTCATTTCATGAGAGCAGAATGAAATAATTGGATAGGCTTATTACAAGCCTGCAACAGAGCATTTGATTTATTGATTGCTGGAAAATAGAATTTCAACAATATAACATAAAGGCTTCTGAAATAAATTGCATATCCTTGCTTTAACTTTGCAGTTCATCACAACACGGTGGGTTTTACATTTCGCCTCAATAACTTAGTATCATAGAGAGTATTTGATGCTAGATTAACTACTGAGAGGCGGGCATTTGAGATTAAAGATTATTTACACATGGTGTGCCTGTGGAAGCGCTGGGGGCTTGATTATTTGTTTGCTTGATTTCATTAAGGAAAATTAGATTTAGCCTTTTCTGCTATAGCTGAATTTTGGTAGGGGTGAAATGTGTTTAATGAGAAAGAATTGCAGGGTGGAGATGGCATGGTGCCCAGAAGTGAGATACCAGATGCTGGGTGTTGATGGACTGTCCAATTCTCTTCCGAGTTTGATGTGTTATTCTATATTTTAAAGTGTTTTGCTCTCGGTGTCTAAGAGGGGCTTTTAAGCTCAAATTCGGGGGTTTGGCAACTCAACATACAGCTTTTGTTTCTAATGTCCTTACAATCAATCTGCAGCATGAGTTTCAAACAAACAAGCCCATGTGGGGCCACCATTTGAATTCTTACAACTCAAAGAAGGGTTTATTGTTCTTTCTGATTTAAAGAACTCATCCACTTTGAATAAAAGGTTCGCACTTTTATTGTTTTGTTTTATTCAAGCTGGCTTTGTCTGACATGTAGAGATGCCAGGAATTCATTCTGTTTGGATGAGTGAGCAGAGTATTCTGGCACCCGGGCAGCCATATGCCAATTAGACACCTCTGCTTTCTGATTACTAGCCAACCTCTCCGGCTGCACCGCTCTGGAAGCCATACCTGACTGCACCCAGATTACATCCTCCCTCCAGCCAGTCTAATTTGACTATTCATGGGACAAGAAGCGATCTCAACAGGCTGAAAGAACATGTCACAACTGATTGGAAAACATGGTCTGGAACAAAAACAAGCTATGGAAACAAGCCTAACCCCAAGGCATCCCAGCATTGTTTCTTGAAAGACAGACATTTGAGATTACCCCAGTGTTAGATATGGTTTGTCAGAGGACCTGTTGCTGTTTCTCCAAGCCTGTCAGTTTAAAGAATTACGGGCTATTGTATTCATACAGCTCAAGCTCGGACTCATCCAATCCGTGCCTCTCAGAAAAAGGGGAATGCAGGCTATCCTGAAAAATCTTTAAAAAGAAAAAGCTTTAAAGCGGCTAAATATCTGGGTCAAAGGAATCATGCCAGGCTCTCAGTGGTCACATAAACCCTGGCAAACAGCAATGTGGCTCAGATGCTGCTGTGCATCCTATTACATACTCCGTGATCTGATGGAATGCAATCTGCTTCTCTGTCTCCGGTGGTCCTTGTTTCTCACATGCTGGATTCGGAGAGCGAGGACCCTGCAGCTACCATGAGGGAACAGATGAGCAGGCCTTCTCTTTCACAGGTGGTCACCATAATTAATGTTTGATCAAATCTTTCCAAATGAATGTCAAAAGCTAATTTGGTGTGCCGAGGCTCTGAACAATCACCATCCTCCCGCCTCTCTAAAAACAAGCCAAACACACCAGTTCTGTCTGGAGTGGAAACAAAGGAATTTGATCCCACTACACATCTATTCCAGAGTTGCCAACCTCTTCCCTGGATTTCAACATCATTATGTAGCCAACCAGCTCATTCTCTCTTCACATGATAGTATACATTCATGCCCATATCCCTGTGCTCTTCCTTCTGTACTGCATCCAGTATTCAGGTTAACGCAGCTGCAAGTGTTTTCTCCATGTTGTGGTGCATGTAATTGTTTTTGATTGGCTTTGGCAATATCTAAAACAGAAATTCATTCTCACCCAAAGATTTTTGCAGATGTTTCCATTGGCAGAATGACCATGACAACATTGAAACAATCAGAAATGCGATGCACAACACAGCTTTTTGTATTCATTGTATCACAGGCTTGTGGGTACAGCTGCAAAGATCTTCCACCGCAGGACCAATGTTACTGTCCAACTCCAATGTATTACTTTATACTGGCACAGTTTCTATTCTAATCAGAACTGCAACAAAAAGAAGACTTCCATATTTGCTTGGCCTGAACAGATGATGTAAGCTCTGAGACATACTGTGTATTTCCAAAAAGGTTTAGCCTCTTTGGACTTTTCATCATGACTGTACAACAAATAGGCACGGATGAATAAGGAGGTATTGAAAACATGCATGCATAGACAGATCAGCTCAGTATACTAGGAATTACGTCAGCATCTCACAATTTACATACAATGCCAATGATCAGTGCCAAAGCAGGAAGTAGTATTCCCTTTACATAGCCAGAAGCATTGGAGTTTTTTAGCCCATCATAGTCGACAATTCATTGAAAAATTCAAATGAAAGTCTTTTTGTTTATGTAACCACGATTCTTTACAGCTGCCTAACGCTTAAAGGTCCCATGACATGCTTTTCCGGTTATTACCCGTCCCCTTGTGTGTTGTGTAGCTTTTTCTGCATGTAAACGGTCTGCAGAGTCAAAACCCCTCAAAGTACACCCTGTAGCGAGTAAAACTCTAACACACTAAAGACCTGTCTGTGCAGCCCCAAAACGCCTCGTAGGACCAATCCGCGGATCCGTGACGTTACGTCTGCGGAGCCGTTACGTTAAGTCCGCGGATTGGTCCAAATGGACCAATCCGCGAACTTAACGTAACGGCTGCCTCACACACACACATACACACTCAATCTTTTCTCAGCTGCAGCTCCGCGGATTTCTCAGCCTGAGACGGCGGGATGCGGCGAGGCTGTGAGTCTGTGTGTGAGCACACATACAGAGTTTTTCTCAATCGCGAGTACGCTTGCTTGGTAGCACATGTCTGCCGAGCATCTTGCTTCAGAAGCAAGTCAAGAATACTTCCTGACATTTGGAAAACAAAGAGTGGAACAGGCTAGCAAGTGTGCAGGTGTGCGTCATATGAGAGGCCCCGCCTTACATCTTCCGCCACAGATTTTGGAAATTGGGTCCGTGCGCAAAGCATTGTGGGGATTTTAAGACCGCGGAGTCTACTCATGTGCAGCCTCGATATTTCTCCAAACGGAGTACGCCGGGCTCGGTAGATTTCCAAGTATGCTGGAGATTGGAACAGCACTTCGGCGGCACTCGATGACGTAGTATGCTTGAAATAGTGGCTCTGCAGCAGCTTTACTCGCGATTGAGAAACACCCACAGACTCACAGCCAAGCTGCGGGTGTGTGTGTGTGCTTGGGCTGGTTTCGGGTTGGGTTTCGCTGTGTCTCGCTGTCTCGCCGACCCCACGCAGCAACCAGGAAACCACACCAGTAAGCCAGCTCACACTGCCGCTCCTCGCAGCAGCGAGCCTCGCAACGTCCCGCCAACACGGCACCCAGACCCCACGCAGCATTCTCATCTGTTTGTCATTACTAGTGTCATTTTCTGGTTGCTAACGCCATTGTAACACATAATCACTGATGTTCCGCTGTAACGGTGGTGGACTCATCAGAACAGAGTGGGCGAGCTGACCAATCAGAGCACACTGGGCTCACAGGGGGGGAGGGGGGGGGGGGGGGCAGGAGCTCCAACAAGCCGTTTAGGACAGAGAGTGAATACACATACTATACAGAGATGCTGTATGAGAAACCAATGTGAGTTTGGCAAATTGAACAATGTAAATCTATTCTAGTAGACCTCAACAATGGAATTACGATCAGTAGAAATGGCCATGTCATGGGACCTTTAACATAACTTGACATGTATTTAACATAACAGCAATATTTGAGATTGTTAGAAGAAAAAGACTTGAAGAATAACAAACATTCTTATTAAATTTCATCGAGGGTTTTTCAGATTTGTCCAATATAAATGTTGTGTCTGAAGATAAGGTTAAATGTAATTTCACAAGACTTTTTATTTTAGAATTTCCATCTAACACGTGTTGCATTTTCTTTATTGTAAGCATTTTGAGGCTGTTTTCATCTTTGTTGTGTACTGATGCCATGATTATGTGCCCTGTCTATCACCATTTGGTGACAAAAGCGTGTGTGTCGTCCATACACACCGTGTCCATGTGACTCTGGTCTGTTATACAGCAGACTGACTCTCCTCAGTAAACCCAGTAATAATTTCCAAACTCTGGCTGTTTGAACAGAACTGCTGTCTCTCTGTCATTCCTGCTCACCGAGCATTACCGCAGCTACCTGCCCCCCCCCCACTGCAGTAAATCATTCAGGATTGGATTCACTCACCTGTACACTAAAATCATGTTCATTGTCTGGCTTTAGCTTGAGAGGAGATGCCAAAAGTCATCTAACATCACTGATATTTCTCTTGCAAATGTCTAGAGGAAGATTTAGATGGTTGACCGTTAACATTTATCGTAGAACTGACTCCCTGCTCCAGATAAGCAGCAGAAGCCGTCTGAGAGTAATGTTCAAAATATATTCACAGCACCTGATATGAAGTTTAATTTGCTTATTTAAAAAATGTCAGCGTGCTGCCTGACTAGATTTGTATGTTTTGGGATTTTACTCCTTTTTGTCTAAATTTCAGTGGATTACATCTAGAAATAAGTAGACATATTTTGGGTGGTGGGGGATACTGTTTTAGAAATCATAAGCCTGAAGACTTTATGATTCCACACCTGCATGCAGGCCATTGATGAAAACATTTATTTTTTAAGATTTTTGGGCAACCAGTGCCTTTATTAAGTGAATCAGTAGTGACAAAGAGGGCTGTAAACTAATATTTTGGTCAGTTACCATTGAAAATGAACACTTGTTGGGACAGATATGACAACATAATGTAGATTATCCCAAGAATAGAACCCAGAAATTATCAAATAGCATCAAATTATACATCTAAACTGCAAGCACACTTAAATACAAAGTATTTGACTAATCATGATTTGCCTTACCTTAGCCAGTTGACTGCTAGTCATCACTTTAGGTGATCTGCTTGGTGCAGTGGCAGATGCTTTATCCAAGTCCTTCCACAGAAGACAGGAGCAGGGCAGAGGAGGCCTCCAAAGACGTTAAGTCTGACAGTAAATCAGCTGTGCCAGGCCTTCCGCCTGAAGCATCATGCAGTGGCTTAATCCTGTGTGAATCAATGTACAGAGGGCTGGGACTGTGTCACACCTCCAGCAGCACAGAGTGGAATTAACTCCCTGGCGCTGCCTCTGTCAAGTACCCACCCACTGATGTTCCCACCAGGGTTGGCACAAGAGTCAGCCTGGGCTACAAGGTCTGAGTAAAAGGAAGACAAAGAGAAAAGAACAAAGACACATTGATATAAACATCTTATACCACAGCGAGTCAAATGTGACACTTCATACAATGACATTCTCAAGATTGTATTTCTTTCACATGAAGCATTGGTGATGGCTATCGTGCTTTGCAGAAGCCTACAAACTGCAAAGAAAGATATGAATGATTTACAATGCTTTCATCCGTTCGGTCTCATTCATTAGACTATTTATCTCAGAGAAAGTGTCTGCACATGTAAATAAGGATGATTATGTTTCCCAAGTTTAGACTTGATGTTATTGCTGGGGGAAGGGCTGCATCATTTGTGCATTTTTTTAGAACAAAGTGTGGTTGCTGTTTGAGAATCTTACATTATAACTGGAAGGTTTATGGCCATGATTTGTCACTGCCTGTATCATATTTCGACAGTAATATCAAAGACAAGAGTGCAGTCCAAGAGCAGCAGCTTGGGTTTTTACTCTCCTATGACATCCAATGATTACATGTCAACCTTGCAGCCAAACACGTTCTCAGAGCTCATCCACAGGAAACTCTGATTCTATTAACACCTCCTGCCCTTGTCTCCAATCCGCCCCCAACCCCTTCCCCAATGGCCCCACCTCTAAGCTTCTCCCCCTTATTGACCTTCCTGGCCACGCTCCTGAAAACCCCAGATCCCAGTGACCCAGACCTTATTTCCCAAGGCTTTTAAGTGCCTTGCCTTGCCATTGCAATGTGGCTCAAATGAGCTTGTCTCCGTAGATGCACTTCTCCTACCCTGGTTGGCTACTAACTAAATAATAGCCAACAAATGGGATGGAAGAAAGGAGCTCCTGGTGGATGAAACAAAATCAATGTCTAACATGCAGTTTCAAGTAGGTACAAGCAATTCATTTAAACTTTATTTAATCTCAACTTTAGACTTGTATTACAGTTCAAATGGGTGTGCTTCCATTTACTATTATCTCACCTCTTAAGGCTTTCTGCATCTTGCAGTGGTATACGAAGAAAAACTGTAAAACTGTCTAAGAAATCAGAACAAATTGAACAGAGAATAGGTTTCTGTTGACATAAGGTGAGACAGAGTCTGTCTCCAAGTCTGTCCAAGAATTAAGTACAAACTGAAACATTGCAAAAAACTATTGGTAAAAACATGAATGGTCCCCTCAGGATGAATTGATAACTTTGTCAATATCTTCCTTAAGTGCTATCGCCAAACTCAAATATTCCTATCAGCCTCAGAAGTACTTTATGTTTGTGCTGACTAGCAATGTTAGCATGCAAGCACAATATTAAAGGTCACCTATTATGCAAAATCCACTTTTTCATGTCTTTTGTACATAAATATACATTCCCTCTACGTTAAGAAATTCTTAAAGTTTCAGGAAAAAATATACGCTCTCTTTTTGTCCTGATCCATTTATATAAAAACCTGTCTGAAAATGAGCTGATCAGATTTTGGCCACTTTATGATGTCATAATGTTTTTTTGGCTTGTGTAACCATTAGCCAATAACCAACCAAGGTAACACCCCCCCACCTTATCACCTGAATCTCCTCCTAGAGCACCATTGTGTTCTTTGTAACCAAATATCTCTCAGAGGGGCGTGGGGAGTGGCTCCTTATTTTCATCTAAAGTAAAAGACACAGAATCAGCACTTTTGGAACAGGGCTGAAACAGAGGGGTTTATGGGATGCTGCAATGCACGATCTGTTTGGTATTTCGAGCCAAACACTTCAGAGAAATATTTTGTATATGTTTGAGACCTATAATATATTGATGAAAAACAGTAAAATAGGGGACCTTTAACCTGTTAAGCCCTGAGCCTGTTTTTCAGGTCTCAGGCTCGAAAATGACATTCCCAGAACAAATGACCATATCTTCCCTTCTAAAAGGGTTAAATTAATAATCTTTTTTCTCAAAGTAATGATAAACCTGTGCGTTGGATGTAGAAAAGTCAGAATCAATATAGATGTTTTTTATTTTAAAGAAAATTCAGATTTTACATAGTAAAAAACTGTAAATTATAGTGTCCGTCCAAAAATTATTTTTTACAGATAGTGAAAACTACCCTTGGATGATGGGTTAGTAGACTAAAAGCTTTAGGAATCCAAAGTACAACATATAATAAGTACCCTGTATCAAGATTGATGCAAAACAAGTGACATTTGACCTTTTTAGAGAGGTTTAGCCAAAACCACCCCACCTCTGAGGTGATTTGGGTGAAAATGTTTTTTTTTCCATATCTCTGGCCCCCCCTTGCTCGATTTGGATGGTTGACACCTCTTTCTGACCGTTAGAGCCAATAGAATCGAAGGGGGAGTCCCCCACACACACACGTTGTGAAGAGAAAAGGTGGGGGCTGCGCGCATGTAAATGTGCAGCAGAGTGGACCGATCTCTCCCTCTGACATTTGGAAACGAAAAAGCAGTTTTATTGCTTATGGATTATCAGAAATCATTTCAAAGAGGACACAGACACATTGGATTAATCTATGGATTAACTGCAGCATCGTTTTTGTATCGTTTTAATGCCATTGAAGACCAGTTTTGACCAAGGTAAGCCATGTTAGCGTTTCTAGCTACCTAGCTCCACATGTTATGATGTACGCTTTCGTTTATAGCGTCGCAAATGTTTATCACTGAGTGTTGAGGAGGTGGGCACCAAACGATTCTGTGTCTCCAGGACACCCAAAACGAGTGGTTGGCTGTGCATCTAGGATAAGTAATAAGGGAGTTATTGTGAGTGTTAGCATTGTGGGTTTTTTTTGGAAAAAAAAATTAAAAAGGTCAGTTAGATGAGTTTCTTCCCGTTACATGGATATAAAACATTCATAGTTTATTAAATGAACATGCCCTCATACACTGTTTCCTGCAAGATGTTGCGGCAGTGCCCCGGTACCGGGGTCTCTCGGGCTTAACAGGTTAAGATCTTGAACACAGCAAATATTATTCCTGCTCACCATTTTAACATTGTCGCTCCATGCATGTTAGCATACTGTCATGAGCAATTAGCTTGAAGCGAAGCTGTCACAGCGACTTCAGCATGTTGATTCTTAGTCTAACAATATCCTCTCAATTAGAATAAGTTAATTTCAGTAATGGATATCATTAGGTTTTAAACTCGGTTGCCAGTTTATTCCAGGTGCACATACAGTAGCTAAAACAAAGCAGTCTTTGAATCATACTAAGGAAGGTTTAAGTCAGCTTAACTGTTTTGGAGAGATGTTTAGTTAATATTAAAAAAATATGAGAGGTTGTAGTTTCTTATGTTGTAATATACGATTGCAACAACCACGATAATATAAACTAGAGACCCCCTTGCAATCACAGCAACATCAAATAAGGCTAAAAATAGGAAACCGGCAATCTTGTTGAAGAACATAAACACCTGACAAAGGGCTAAAAATGTCCTCAGGAGTAGTTCCCACGACAGCAGGTGTTTTCCCGGACCATGTTTTTCCATGCTGACATACACCCAGACTCACAAGGTTGTAAAGATACTAGCCCCACACTGTCAGTTTAACAGTTGGAAAAAAAGTTTAATATTCCCTAAGGGATCATTGAAGTCTAGTGGAACCTCCATAAAGAAATGATTCATTCTAGCACTATTGTATTAGGCTACAATAGTGTTAGCAAGGTGTGCCAATGTTAGGTTAACTTACTGTTCCATATCAAAATGTCACTGTGGGACAGTGAAGCAGAGTTAACAAGTGAAGTCCAAAGACAGAAGTGTCTGCCAATCTATGTCTCCGCCCTCGACCTGCCTGAGTCTTCTCACCTTGCTTCCGGAGCCGGTTACATCACCAGGTTGGCTCTATCCTCCAGTCCCACAGCCAAAAGCCCTCTTGACACAACTACAGACACTTTGCTTAACATCACAGGCATGGATTTCTTTAATATCCATTCAAGAGAGTTCATGTATCCTCTGTGGTGTGTCTAGCTGGCCAGTTTTCCAACAGCTCACTGCACATTGTGGTTGCAAGACTTTTCTTTTTTTAATTCTGCAAATTTAATAGGTAAGAGACAACTGCAAGTTTAAAAGGTTAGAGACAACTGCAAGTTGTTACAGCATATGAATATTGCCCAGCATTGGCAATATCTCATACTACATACTATGATACCGTAGGTGGTCGTTGCATCCATTCATAAAACCAAAAGATTAAGAGGAAGATTAAAAGAAAGGAGACACGCTAAAATGAGTGCCAAAATGAAAAAGAGAGCTTACAGGGATTTATGTTTAAGCAGCCAGGGAACCCACTGTGTTGTGTCACTTCCTATGAAATACTGTTAGAATCAACTAGTCCTTTATTTCCATAAAGAGCAGACAAACTACGCCAACTGTCTTTGCCACTCATTCTTTTCTAGTCTTCACATTTTATATAACTGCGGCTTGTTTTTAGTTTGTTGAAGTTAAAATGTGAAAAAGGCCTGGGAAACTTTTTTTTTTAAATTGTTTTGTTATCAGGCTTTTAGACAAAAAAAGTTACTTTTGGAGATGGGTATGATCATTTGCATTGTTTTTGTCATTTTGAAAATATTTTGCTGATGTGGGTGGATGTTGAACTTTACCATCTCCCACACATCACCATCTGTCAAATGATTAGATGCATTTTGCTTACAATTCACTGTTTATTTAATATCTACAAATATATGAATATTTAAGCAGATACATTCATCTCATTCATTTAATCTGGATGTCAAAACAGACACAGTTTTTCATGCTTAGACTTGGGAGTATTCATACACTCAAACTGTTCTACCGCTGCACATCAGCATCCACGTTGCCTATAATCAGATCACTAAAGCACACCATAAATGATGAA